CAGCCTTTTTTTTTTTTTTTTTTTGTAACCAATATCTATTGATTCCTCTACAAATTCTTCAATCTGCATGTACATATTCATAAATTTTTCAGATGTTTAGTGCAATACAAGGGAAATTTGTCCAGTTTTTCAATTCAGTCTGATTATGGATGTTTAACTGATATAAAGTTTGATGGCGTAATTTTTACTGGAATAACATATGGTCGCTGTACATCTAAAAAGTTGCTCGATATCAACAACAAAAATCCTAAGCAAGAAGAAATAAGGTTGGCTGTTGTGTTTTTGTTTTTGTTATTGTTTTTGTTGTTGTTGTTGTTAGCAGCAGCCCAATCTAAAACGGCTTTACACAAACGACAGGCAAAACAGCCTACAGTTCAGCATTTTGTGCATCTGTTGTTTAGCCGAGGTTACACACACACACACACACACACATTAAATAATTTTGAAATCAAAACTGGCGAAACTAAGAAAAAAAAATTTTAAAGAACAATTTCACTTTGTTGTTCAGTTTTTCCGTCTTTTCACTCTTTCTTTTTTATTACTTACTGGTGTTTTTTTGTTTTTTTTTTTTCTGTAATTTCTTGAACGAATTAGATTTTTATTTTTAGTAACTGATGAACTGCAAAAAATGGAAAAATTTATTTATTCTGCTACACACACACTGCTTTTGCTTATTAGGCGATTGCTTAGGAATGCTGTTGTCCGCTTTTTTTTTTTTTTTCATGTTTAATTCCTTCTGTTTCCAAGTATTTTTCAGATCAGAATAGGGGATCTCAGAATGACATCCTGGCAATTGCTTCTGTTGTTTATTGTTGCCATAATATTTGCCGAGGTTCGAGCTATGCGAAAACAGGGTGTCGCAGTTAAGGGAAAGTTGATGTGCGGTAAGAAGCCAGCTGAAAATGTGAAAGTCAAAATTGTGGACATTGATACGGGTCAGTTTTTCTGCTTGCAAGTAATTGTTTCTACAAATAAATATCTTCAGTGGAAATCGTTTTTTAATTTCTAGTATTAAATAAAAAACAATTTTTTTAAATCTACGTAATTTTATGTTTGATTCTCTATGCGATGAGAAAAAAAGTTAAAAAGCAATAAACGTTTACTGTTCAATTGTTTTATTTGTCGTTAGTGCGCTCAAATATCATAACTTTGCAAATGCTACAAAAAAAAAAACGTTTCTAGTGATTGGAAAAAGAATGAGATTTTTTAAAAATAGACTAGTTTAGAAAGCCGCAACATCCAGACAAAAAAAAAGGAAAAAAAAGAAAAGTAGGAAAATGTTAATTAAAAAACCTGATTGACTTTTCTATTTTGAGGCTTTAAGTTGCGATAAAATTTTTTTTTGTAGGACCAGACCCAGACGACACTCTTGATGAGAAGGAAACCGACTCGGAAGGCAAATTTGAGCTTAATGGCTGGACTCGGGAGTTGAGCAACATCGATCCAGTTCTCTACATATGGCACGACTGCGACGACGGGAATACTGTATCTTTTTTGCTCTAAATAAATGCAAAAAAATCATTTTTGATTACGGCACTATTTAAAATAGGAAATAGTGCAAAATTCAAATTTTACAAATCTGAAAGGAAAAACTAACACCGGACTTACAGTGGTGACACAGATTTTGCTCTCAACATTTTTTGAAGTAAAAGTTGGTGACACTAAGACTGCATTAGTGGAAAACCTTGGATCAATTTAAACACAAATTTTGCTGTTATAAGCATCACTGTCAAAGTCATCTTTTTTTTTTCTAGTACTTTAAATAGAGAAGCTCTTTTGCAGCCATGTCAAAGAAAGCTAACTTTTGTCATTCCCAAAAAGTTTATTCATAATGGAACACCTAGACCAGAACAGTGGGTTGATATAGGAGTGCTCAACCTGGAAGGACAATTTGATCATGAGGACCGCGAGTGTGTGGACTAATGACTTTTTTGTTACACAGAGATGTCCAAAAAAAGTCATGTATTTTTCAAAAATAAATTTTGTTTATTAGTTTGATTTTAAATACATAAAATGGTCATGGCTTTTTTTTTTTGGTGAAAACTCATCCTGTTATTTTTACGAGTCATATTAGAGAAAGATGCTTCAAAAAGTGTCTAAAAGTTTATTTACCCCACAGTTGTTTGCTTTGTTCTTTGACGCTTCACCCTTTTAAACCTTCTCTTTTCTTTACAGCATGGGTTTTCTAAAAAGTAATGTTTTCCATTCTGCAGTATAAGTCTGCACTTCCTCCTTATCTACAAGCCGATTTGAAATAATGCTTCCTTCAGTGGCAAATGAATATCCTGAAGTTTTGAAAGATTTTTTGCATTTTCTATATTATGCTCATTACATCTGCCAATTCATGTTTGACAGCAGCAACGCTAATTTCGCACAGATCAGCTCAGCGCATTGACCATAATTCCTTCATGCGAAGGGAAAGCGCCATCTAAAAAGCCGTTTAAAACTCTATTTAGACAGCAGCAGTGGTGCAACGATGGTGGGATTCGTTGATAATTTTTTCCAAGCATTTTCTTGAGAACCAAATGCATTATAGAGGAATAATAATTGTTGAAGTCGCAATCGTGTAATATAATTACAGTTGATAACGGAACAACATGCACTGTGATGACAAAAACTATCTGTGCCTGAAAATTAGAGCCGAACGTATCTTTATAATGTTCCGGCAGCCAATGACTAAGATTGAAAACGTTAAATTCTAACCATTTATTCTTAAAAGGTTGGAGATGATTAAATTAAACTAAGCCGGGACAAAATCCTCAGTCACTGAACCAAAATTCGGCCCCTACACGTTTTTCAGACGTTGCCCTGAGCTGCAGATTTCACACACCACTGATAATTCACTAATCACTTTCATTATAGCAATTCATCGTAAGATGTCGAGAACCAAAGAATTTTGTGCGCAACCGTAGATAACTCTAGTTTCAGATATCAGCAGAATAGGAGTTGCTTTCAGTAACAACACTTTTGACTTTCCGTAAATGATCAGTAGGATGATATGGCTAATAAATAAATTTTATTAGAATGTATTTGCAAGACGAGAAAAAACAATTTATTTAAAAGAAATGTAGGCTCAACAAAGCAAAATGGACAAAAGTGTAAAGAGGAGACTAGAATAGGCGAACAGACGGAACTGCAAAGTATACAATTTAAGTAAAAGCAAATGGACAAATCAAACACGTTATCTGCGGTAGGTGGAGCCAAGTACGGAGGTATCGGAACAGTATCTTGTCGGAAAGTTCCACGTTAATTATTTGCACCTTACACGGTTTTTTTTGTCAAGTTATTAAAGCTTTCTCTGCAGACACATGGCAGAGCCGGATGGTTACTCTTGCTCTTGCTGACTTTTTTTTGTAATTGAAAACACCGCTGGAAGCTTTGAAGATTCTGCAGTATGCCAAGCAACAATGATCGAACTCAGACAGTTGGTCGTTACGCCAAATGCACCTTGCAGAACCTCAGATCTTTTTTCAAACAGGATATGTAACTAGCGGCTGTGGCAACGAGATTTCGAAAGAACCATGATACGTTTTTGATAGTAATCGCTTAACAAACTGAGCAGACTAGAAGCAACAGTCGCAAAGCAAAGCAGAGATTAAATAATAAGCAGTACAAGTCTCTTAGCGACTGTTAACCGGAACTTACTTCCATAATTTTCTGTAATCTTTCTAAAAAAATTTCCTCTTATTGGAAGATTACAGACTAGATTTTTTGGTTTTTAGTTGCCTTGTCGCGTCTTATCGCAACACATTCATCAGTTAGCGAGGTACAACAGGTTTCAACTGCTTGAACACTGAGTACTGTCTCGTGCCCTTTACCTGGCTATAAACCAGTGTATAGTTTTGAGCAAATTGTTTCTGACAGTTTCATATGCTAAACTTTGTTCAGACCACTTTTGTATTTTTTACTTGTCCATAAAAGTTTGTCTATTGTAATGTTTATTATTGAATCTCTGCCTTGATGAGATACTGCTGATTATGAACTTGGCTTTATTTTCTTGTACCTTTGCTAACTAAATTTTTAATAGACAAATGCATCAACGGAAGATGCTTCAGCGGATATTACTGCGCTAACACTTCATAATTTTATTGGAAGACAAATAAGAAATACCAAAACTATGTCGCTGTGTGTAAAAATTTTGGTCAACATATTAAGAGCGTAAAACGTTCGAACACAATCAGATGCGTCAGGAAATTGCGAAAAACCATGCGGGGAGGTGCAGATGTGAAGAGTATTCGTTTATATACAAAATTAAGTTCTGACTCTGCTAACAAAATTTTGAAAAAGACATGGAGGTGTCACAGTTAGAAATAAAAATTTCAAACTGCAATCGCTCGGTCTAAAAAAAGTAGGTGTAAAAAATGTTAAGTTACCAAGTGCATTAATAAAGTTTATTCTGCCGGATACTATTGTAGCAATTATCTATGTGCTGGATAAAATGTTGGGCCTTTGTCCATTTTATCTCCTTTCGCTAATTCTGTTTTACTGGTCTTAACTTCATATACAAAAGTAAGCAGTTGTCGAGGCATTGCATTACAGGAATTATTCATTTGAATCGTGCCTTGTCAATAAAAAACATCATGTATTGAGCTGCTTCAAAGCTAGAATTGTTTAATCATGCAGGTGACAAGTTAGAAAGCTGATAAGACAGTAAGAGATTTAAATTTAGGAGTTGAATTCATTTACTTGGCAAAGAAGAAAGCAGCAGAATGATTACTAACTGCACTCGATACTCCTTCATCTACTTTGCAGTTTGTCAATTTTAATTTCACTGTTGTCTCACAATATGAGAGTGTCTTTAAAGTCTTAAGTGACATCTGGCTTTTTTACTTTTTTCTTCAGCGGCAAACATGCAGGTGGGTGCACATCTGTTGGCAAAGGTAGAAACTTAGGCTTAAAACGAGGCTTACAGCCTAGCTAATGCTTTTTAAAAACTGAATGAAATCGATTCAAGCAAGTGCTGTTGGAGGAACTGCTTTAAATTTTGTAATCGTCTATTCAAAATTTTCGTCTAAACAAAGATAGCGTCTTGAGAATCTGATGGTGAGTTTGAAAAATATACTACAACTTTGTTTACCTGCCTTCCATGCTAATTAGCACTGCATTTACAGAAAAGAAGAATTTTGATTTAATACGCAAAATAAAATTGTTGAAATGTCTTGTATTATTTAGGAATATACACTTAAGTTGGCTTACAAGTGTCAAATGCAATCGTCCAGAAGACTGCTGCAGAGCTGAGCAAAGCCGGATTTATTGCTTTCATTCTTTTACTTCACCTTTTTCAGAAGTCACCGAACAAGTAGTATCTACCACTAACGCCTGCGTAATGTCTGCTCAGCAACTCTGTTTTGGATAAACCTTTTTACTTGGGCTACAAATTTAAGACTCTTCCGTCAAGCGGTGTTTTTACGTATTGAGAAGAAGCTGTTTGGAACCGGCTCAAAGCTGCTTTGATTGTTACTTGGATCGTGGTGTAACAGTAATCAAATTCATTTATTTCACGTCATAAACCTTCTATAGAGGAGCAAAACACGCAGAAAGCAAGCATTTGGAGCGCTTCGTTGAGCCGATATACTAAAAGCGATATGTCAAGGCAGTAAGTCAATGGGAAGTTTTTGAGACCCTGCGTCAGATACAAAATTCTGTTTGATATTACTGCGATAATCGTCTGAGCTTTAAAAAAAATAAGTAAATCACTAGAACTCTGGCGACTCAAAATGAAGAACTGTAGCTCTGGACAGCCACTTCTACATTGAATTAATTTCTTAAAAACAGCAACAAATTTAAAATATCACAATACTTTCTGAATACATTTAACTTTTCTTAGTGCTGTGTCGCAATTGTTAATTCTGCACATTTTGTATAAGCTCATACTTTTGAAAAAGGTTTCGAAATCATTTTCAATTGTGAAAATTTTCACACTCTTATTTGAAGTTAAACGTTTACCGTAATATCATCATGTATCTATCGCATTACTGTACTTCAAAAGAACATTTTGGAACTTCCATTTTTTAGCACAGTGCCTTGTAAACTGCACAACGTTTACATCATCTTTACAGTCACTACAACAACTTATAAAGCTACAAAGTGCACCGTAATTGAATTATTACAATATTACAATAATTAGCATGTAAAGCTAAAACTTTGACACTTCTATTGTTGTTGGCTTTATACCAAAAACTTTACTGCTCGCTTCACTTCGAATTTTGACTAATGTTGCTCGAACAGCTTTGTTGAACGCCAGTAATAATGGCACTTGAACGAAGGCATTGGCGACGTAAAGAAAATTGCCGACTACTGCAGGCTAAAATTCAAAAAGATCAATTAAAATCAAATCTATATGACAAGAAAAACTTGCTAATTTTTTCAAATATGCAATAAGCTGATTTCATTGCAGAAAGGAAGTGGAATAAATTATATCGTCTAATAAAGTGGTAACAAATAAATTTCATTTGAGAAACAGCCAAGAAAGGAACAAAACTCTTAACGTGAACGTAAGAGAAGTAAAAGCGGAAAATATTACGCGAAAAGAAAATTTGATTCTGTTACAAATATCATTTTTTTAAAATACTTTTTTACATCTCAGTCATATATCTTCAGAGAACACCTGACTGTTTTGGTTGCCATAAAAAAGTACTTGCGAGGCACTTTTTTAGGAGAATAAAGCTTACCCAAATTTGGTTAGAAGCGATCAATGGAAAGATAAAAAACAGAAGGGAATCAAGCCACTGAATAAGGCATGTCAGAAATCCTTGTAAAGCCTGTAATAAAACTGAGGTCATTCAGTTTTGCTTTAATTTTTCTAGGACTTTACAGAACTAAGTGGTTTGTAAGTTTCTTTCTTTTGCTTGAATAAATATATTTTTAAGCTTTACATTAAGTTATTGAATTATGAATATACTTTTTTTTTGATTTGACTCTGA